AATTTGGGTCTTCCTATAGTTCGCATCAGGTCTACAGCATAACGTGCATCGTTTCGCAAAAAGTCGAGATGAAAATGTCGTTCTGGCGGTACAGACTTTCCGTAACCGGGCGGATCCCATGCAATTATTGTATGATTTGGTAGCAGCTCAGGTAGTTTTTCAATTTGTGGTTGAAAATGTGACCAGACAGAGCCAAGTGCACCAGGCATTAGCAATACGCTTTTGTCCCCTTTGCCCGTTTGTACATAATTGATGGTGATGCCGTCACTAAGTTTTACTTTTGTTTCTATGTGATTATTGCGTTGCGTTACAGTACAATTTACCAACGGTTTTAGGATTCGGCTATACAGATTTGGTCGCACTTGGAACATTATGCAATCCTGGGTAATTATATGGAGTAGAAATTATGTCCAGTGGCTCAATGATAAGCAGCAAAATAGAATGACGAATGTCGACACCAAGCCGATGATTTACCGATCACAATAGGGTTGTTTTTACTCACGGGCTTACTTATAAGCGTTGCGGATAAGAAATAGGAATAAAAATATGAGCTCAAATTAGTTATTGTAATCATAAAACAATTAATATCACACTTTTCCAGTGCCTTTCTTAACAARCTAAAAAAAATTATATATAGGCATTGTATACATATATGAATACAAACAAGTTGGTTTCCGAATGACTGTCTGTTTGTTCATCCGCGTATGTGGTAACTTCAGTAAAAATTCTAAAATAAGTCTTAATGAAACTTGCTACACGTCTTCTTTGACAAAATCGGATCACTGCCACCCTCACAAAACCCTTTTCATCGAAAACCTATAATATGCCATAACTAAGCACTAAATAAAGATAAAAAGTAAAACTGTTTTTTGGTACATATCTCTTTACCTGAAAACAGCTTTCAATTAAATTTGGTACGTGACATTCCTCTGACACTCTCATGATACATTGCGAAAATTGGTGAAATCGGACTACAGCCACGCCTACTCCTCATATAACACAGTTTTAAATTCCATTTGAAATTTTCACTTCCCAGTATACAAATCAAGAGTCAATTAATATAAAGTATAAAACTGTGGACGAATGGTGCCTTTGGGGAATGCCACCTCATGACTAGAAATTTCCCAAATCGAACCAAAGCTGTTCAAGCCTTTAAGTACTGAAAATGTGTAAACTAGTGCTATAGTTGACTTTTTACCGATAATATCAGTCATTGTGTGAGATATATATATGTATAATGAAATTCAGAGRGAATCTTTTCTTGATATTTCACTTAGCCTCCATATACTTAATTTTGATATTTTCGAACTTTCTGGTGATTTTATACCCCACATACCGGTCAATATATGAGACATCTTATTAAAATTGAGTGTAAACTCGCCCCAGGTCCCATATAACTAACAAGCCTTATAGGTGCTCTCTCACTTTCATTCTTCCAAGTTGCAAGGGTATAATATGTTCGGATACACCCGAACTTGGCGCTTCCTTACTTGTTTAATAAATATATTTAGTTAATAATATAAATGATAATTCAATTAGTGCGATAATATAAGTTTATTTTTATCGTTTCCATATATTTATGTATGTATTATAACACAATTCAAACAATTTAACATGACAACAACAACAATATCAAACTAGAAACAATTTTCCAGTACCAATAAAATACATACTGTATTGAATGTACAAATGTATATTTTTGTTATTACTGAATCTCAGTATATTATTTATCAGTTCAATGCATCTATGCATATACACACATATATGTACATATAAACATTCATATGTAGTATTTTTTGACATTGCATACGACTTACTTTATGATTTGCAAAATGTTAACGAAATGTCAATAGTGAAATAAATAATCATCAAATACTGTTAAGGTGGATAACAGTACAGTTACTGTTGCTAAAGTCTTGAAAAAGTAGACCAAACGATATTGTTGAGAAAAGCTTTTTAAAATAAAGGGTGTTCCAAAGTTCATGCAGGATTGAAATTAAACAGATAACAGTTTTTTGTATTTCGGTTGTAATTTTTTTTATTGAATCATAAATTATATATTGTAGGGTTATTTATGGAATAACACATCGGGGRAATAGTCTCCATGGCTTTCCATATGCATATGCGCTCGTTTGATGCTACACGCAACCCCATAGAAAGAAATGTAATGGTGTTAAATCACACGATCTAGGGTAAGTAAGTAAGGGTACAAATTCGTAATACAAAAACGAGAGAATGCACGTCCTGGAAATGTCTCATGCCGTAAACGAAGTGCTTCGTCTTGTTGAAACCATGTATCCCCCACATCAATATCATTTAATTTTGGCAAAAAGAACTGGGTTATGATGTCGTGATGTCATAAGTAATAGTCACTGTCTCTGCCTCCAGCACAAAATATATACTTAGTGTACCAAATACTGACAAGTTGTGGGTGCATATTTATCGAAACTCACCTGTGGGTTCAGAGAACCCCATAAGCGTGATTGTGCCCCAAAAGTTTATGTTAGAAATTTTGCGAAAGAATTTATCATTCAATATTCGAAGAAATTTTGAATAAATTATAATCAGATTAGATATCTTCTTGGCTTCTGGAGTAAGATACCTAACCACGATCCTTAACCTGTCGCTGGTCACGTCAAGTACCCGACATGAGGAAAGTCGGAAGAGTGGTCCCACTACTGAAAATCGCCAACAAATAGGAGTCCTATCTTCCGATAACTATCCTTTCCCCAGTAGTGAAGACAGTTGACCTTAACTCATCATTGGAGTTTAGCAGACCACCAACATGGCTTCGCTATTTGAGGACATCTAATAATCTACGCTCCCTCCAGGAGTGAAGAGGTGGTCTATGAATTACCTGAGCGGTTCGCAAACGGGTAACCTACAGGGTGGTGTTCTCTACCCGTTGCTGTTTAATTTCTACATTTCGACGCTCCATCAACCATCAGAGGGAATTTCTATCACCTCGTACGCTGATGATTGCACGAAAATGACGTCGGACAATGGAATCGATCACATATGCTCAAAAATAAACTGGTTATCTCTCCAACCTTTCTCGCTTCTTGGCTGCAATTAGCCTAAYACTCTCCATCACTAAATCCACATCGACCATATTCATAAGCTGTACGAATTAGGACACACTAGACCAAGTGCCAATAACTGCAATATTTTAGGTGTGTCACTAGGACAACTTGTGCTCATTCAATCCTCATATGACCGCGATAACTGCCAAAGTACATAGCCGCAACAAAATCCTCAAGTCGCTAGCCGGCAGCGCAGGGGGATAAGACAAAGAAACGTTCTTGAAAACATACAAGGCAATCGGCCGGCCGATCAGCTATAATCCGGATTATTGTTTGCGAGCCCTAAAGCTTTACAAATGATCATTATAAGAAAGCTAATGTGAGAATTAAGTGTTTTCCAAAAATAGTTTTTCAAATCATTTTAGCAGGGGGTGTGACAGTTGATATGTTGTATATTATGTGGTATTATTAGGTATTGGATCTTAGTTGAATATCTCGAACGACATGCTTTACCAAACTTGCAATTCATGGAAAAACTGATTCTCGATTTATGCTGATACTGTTAACAGTAATGCAAGTTAGAGTTACTTATCAAAATCGGCCCGAACGATATGTATAAAGTAGGAGATATAAAAGTTGGATTTTGCTATRCTTGTATTCAGTCATATTCAAGCAAACAGTGGAGGTAGACGTAAAATGGAATCAAGTGGCATAGTTCCGGATATTATTGACAATAAGCCTAAAGGTTTACYACAGGTGACTTCCAAACTTTATTTTTATACGAAATAAGTCGAAATAATTATAAATATAATAAATAATCCAAGTTATTTATCCAAGTGGTGTTAAAGGGGTATCCAAGCAGCATGTACCACATCACGGAACTTGGTAAAGAACTGAGCCCCACTCAGGTAAAGGATCAACCCACACTCAGTTAGGAGGCGGAAGATAATGCTCTGTATACTTTGGCCATAAAGTAGCGGAAGGTCAAACTGTTGCGGAATATATTGGTTCTGGTCCACCAGAGAGTACTGGCTTGCACCGTTATGTTATCTTTGTCTTCAAGCAGCCGAAAGAGATTGAGAGTGAAAAATTCATTCCAAAAACGTAAGTCAAATATTAAAATTTTCTAACTGTTACACATACCTGAGTTTGTCATATTCTGAAATAACTAAATATATTTTGTAAATTCATATTTGTGTGTGTAGGTGTAGTCAAGGTCGTGTAAAGCTAAAGTGAAAAGATTTGATTGTAAAATATAATGTGGGTGATTGGATGGCTGGAAACTTTTATAAGGCAATTCTGTTAACTAATTGCAAAAACAAATGACTATAGAGGATATTTTATATATTTTATTTATATACATATGCATGTAAAATACACATATACATACTTAAATATATATATATATATATATATATATCTGTCTCTTATACACATCTAGATGTGTATAAGAGACAGCATATGCATGTGTTAATAAATATATATCAAATATATAAATAGTAAAAAATTTTACTTTTCACTTAAGACGAATTCACATTTAAACAACACATTACCACAATCGGTTCTGTTGACTGCGGGATTACCAAAATATCATCGGGGATATATATATATATATACATATATGTACGTACAGGGTTTTTCCGGAAAGTAATAGAACTTATTTTCTTCTGTCGCGACGGCGGTGTAAACAGAAAATACGGCCTATGTTGGGTCAGAGGTACACGATTAAATTTTGTGTGAAACTCGGTAAATCTGCGACAGAGACGTTTGAAATGATCAAGCAGGCTTACCCAGATTTTGATTTAGCATGACGATTGTGGTATGGTAGCACCAGGCCTTTTTGGGAGGTCGGGAAAGAGGTCGCTGATGAAGACCGTGCTGGGAGAGCCTGTCACTTCGACAAACACCGACAATGCGACTCGTGTGCACAAAGTTTTGAACTCAGACCGTCGACTAAGTATTCTTTTAATTGCACAGATGTGAAATTTATAAATTTCTATGGTTCATGACATTGTGACAGAGCACTTGAACATGCGCAAGGTGTGCGCGAAGACGGTCCCAAAAGCGCTCACTGACAATCAGAAATTGCGGCGATTAGAAGTGAGCCATAAAAATTTGAACATGTGTGAAAGGGTCCCCCAATTTTTGAATAACGTAATCATAGGTAACGAGTCATGGATCCCGAGGCAAAGAGGCATTCTTCCTAGCATTTTGAGACGACAGAGGGGATCCAAGTAGCATGTACCACATCTCTCAAGGTTATTTCGGAGAATGCCTTTAGTGACGCCTTCCAGAAGGAGCCTATTTCAACTCAGTATTATTACTATTACATTCCGGACAAACCCTGCATATATAAAACTGTTTTACTTTCAGTACGATGTTAGGGCTCTTGCGTTAAGAAATGCGCTACCAATTTATTGAACTCGTCTGCATAACGGAGATGAATATTATGTTTGCCTTCGGGGAATTCATAATACCTAAAAATTTAAAATGTATGCATTAATKTTTAATCACAAATTGTTGAAATATTATGGAAATATGAAGAATATATAATCAAATAACTAGTTATTGCAGAAATATACATGCTCCTAAAGCATTGAAAATAAGGCAAAGTTTCTTACTTGCAATCTTTTATACGTTCCCTTAGATATGGTATGTGCTCGGCGGAAATCATTGGATCCTTCTTGCCATGCAATAAAAAAGTTGGGGCTTTTATTTGAGATACTTCTGTGCAACAAWAGTCTCCTTTACGCWCTTTATAAATTKCAAKCWYAGYATCAACCCAYGCAGACCAYAAYTTWGGAAATCCCTCTACACCGTATACTTTCTCCATTGCTTCACGATTCCGTTGTGACCATTTCTGCACATCGCGCAAAACTGTAAAATCCATTACATCCTGTAAAATAACTTTATTGTGTTAAAATATTATTGTGTATTTGCCTCGCATTWTTTTTTCKTCTTCAGCATTTAAATAAGCAGGAGCACCCCATATAACTAATTTTTCGACACATTCGACAAAGCGAGCTGCCACAATGATGCTAGTTTTGCCACCATTACTCCATCCTAGTATAGAAAATTTGGGTCTTCCTATAGTTCGCATCAGGTCTACAGCATAACGTGCATCGTTTCGCAAAAAGTCGAGATGAAAATGTCGTTCTGGCGGTACAGACTTTCCGTAACCGGGCGGATCCCATGCAATTATTGTATGATTTGGTAGCAGCTCAGGTAGTTTTTCAATTTGTGGTTKRAAATSTGWCCAGRCAGWKCCAAGTGCACCAGGCATTAGCAATACGCTTTTGTCCCCTTTGCCCGTTTGTACATAATTGATGGTGATGCCGTCACTAAGTTTTACTTTTGTTTCTATGTGATTATTGCGTTGCGTTACAGTACAATTTACCAACGGTTTTAGGATTCGGCTATACAGATTTGGTCGCACTTGGAACATTATGCAATCCTGGGTAATTATATGGAGTAGAAATTATGTCCAGTGGCTCAATGATAAGCAGCAAAATAGAATGACGAATGTCGACACCAAGCCGATGATTTACCGATCACAATAGGGTTGTTTTTACTCACGGGCTTACTTATAAGCGTTGCGGATAAGAAATAGGAATAAAAATATGAGCTCAAATTAGTTATTGTAATCATAAAACAATTAATATCACACTTTTCCAGTGCCTTTCTTAACAARCTAAAAAAAATTATATATAGGCATTGTATACATATATGAATACAAACAAGTTGGTTTCCGAATGACTGTCTGTTTGTTCATCCGCGTATGTGGTAACTTCAGTAAAAATTCTAAAATAAGTCTTAATGAAACTTGCTACACGTCTTCTTTGACAAAATCGGATCACTGCCACCCTCACAAAACCCTTTTCATCGAAAACCTATAATATGCCATAACTAAGCACTAAATAAAGATAAAAAGTAAAACTGTTTTTTGGTACATATCTCTTTACCTGAAAACAGCTTTCAATTAAATTTGGTACGTGACATTCCTCTGACACTCTCATGATACATTGCGAAAATTGGTGAAATCGGACTACAGCCACGCCTACTCCTCATATAACACAGTTTTAAATTCCATTTGAAATTTTCACTTCCCAGTATACAAATCAAGAGTCAATTAATATAAAGTATAAAACTGTGGACGAATGGTGCCTTTGGGGAATGCCACCTCATGACTAGAAATTTCCCAAATCGAACCAAAGCTGTTCAAGCCTTTAAGTACTGAAAATGTGTAAACTAGTGCTATAGTTGACTTTTTACCGATAATATCAGTCATTGTGTGAGATATATATATGTATAATGAAATTCAGAGRGAATCTTTTCTTGATATTTCACTTAGCCTCCATATACTTAATTTTGATATTTTCGAACTTTCTGGTGATTTTATACCCCACATACCGGTCAATATATGAGACATCTTATTAAAATTGAGTGTAAACTCGCCCCAGGTCCCATATAACTAACAAGCCTTATAGGTGCTCTCTCACTTTCATTCTTCCAAGTTGCAAGGGTATAATATGTTCGGATACACCCGAACTTGGCGCTTCCTTACTTGTTTAATAAATATATTTAGTTAATAATATAAATGATAATTCAATTAGTGCGATAATATAAGTTTATTTTTATCGTTTCCATATATTTATGTATGTATTATAACACAATTCAAACAATTTAACATGACAACAACAACAATATCAAACTAGAAACAATTTTCCAGTACCAATAAAATACATACTGTATTGAATGTACAAATGTATATTTTTGTTATTACTGAATCTCAGTATATTATTTATCAGTTCAATGCATCTATGCATATACACACATATATGTACATATAAACATTCATATGTAGTATTTTTTGACATTGCATACGACTTACTTTATGATTTGCAAAATGTTAACGAAATGTTAATAGTGAAATAAATAATCATCAAATAMTGTTAAGGTAATTTACAGTTACTGTTGCTAWGGTCTTGAAAACGTTAACCAAACGATATGGAGGAGAAAAGCTTTTTAAAATAAAGGGTGTTCCAAAGTTCATGCAGGATTGAAATTAAACAGATAACAGTTTTTTGTATWTCGGTTGTAATTTTTTTTATTGAATCATAAATTATATATTGTAGGGTTATTTATGGAATAACACATCGGGGGAATAGTCTCCATAGAAAGAAATGTAATGGTGTTAAATCACACGATCTAGGGTAAGTAAGTAAGGGTACAAATTCGTATTACCAAAACTAGAGATTACACGTTCTGGAAATGTCTCATGCTGTAAGCGAAGTGCTTCGTCTTATTGAAACCACGTATCAGCCACATCAATATCATTTAATTTCGACAAAAAAAAAAAAAAAAAAAAAAAAACTGGGTTATGATGTCGCGATATCGAGTACAAGTAACAGTCACTGCTTGACCAGGTTCAGTTTTACAATAAATATTTGTTAATTGTTCCTTCATCACAAATTATACACCAAATATTAACATGTTGTGGGTGTATTTTTTAAAACCCCATAAGCGGTCATCTTGGCGATTAACAAACCCATCAACTTGAAAATGTGCTTCACCGCTGAAGGTGATTTTGCTCCAAGCAAAAATCGTCATCAATTTGTTGAATCTTATTCAATACCGAAGACAAGTTATTTTAACGTAAAAAAATCACGGAAAATTAAAATCTTGCGTTAAATTTGGGATATCCTTTATATTTCATTAAATGTATATATTTTACGACGCAAGCAAGTAAGAAAGGTCTACATTCAGGCATAACCGCACATTCATACTCTTGCAACTAGCAAAAATCAAATATCTTTAGGTATTAAAATTTTATGTTATGTTTTATGTTAGAAATGTTGAGAAGAGTTTATCGTTCACTATTCGAAGAAGTTGAAAATAAATTATAGTTAGATTTGGTATCTACTGGCTTATGTTGTTAGTTATGATGTTAGTTTGATAAGTCCTTAAGATACACAGGGGCTTGACCACAAGTTACGTGGCCCCCTTTTGCAAACGCACTACTGCGACTTTAGCTTCTACGACTATGCACTTCCCGCCACTCCACCCGAGTGTCCAACAAAGGACAACTACGGTTCATAGGAGCTCAAACAGTCAACATAATTCCCTTTCTGATAAGTGATCTCAATTTGGAGATTTGGCAAATAGTAAACCAACATAAGTGGATGAATTAGATAGAGCAACTTTAATTTTTAATTTCTCTACCGGCGGTAGTAAGCTTTGGACTACTGTCAAGGCTTTGTCTAACCCGAGAAGTCATGATGACCGACATGAAATTCAATTCAATTGTAATGATCTTTTCGATCCCGGAGCAGTGCGCGGGCTATTTTGGCGGGTAATTCACATTGCCCTGATGAGGAGGTGAGGTGTGTTATCAATCTTCTTAATCCAGTAGCCCACGTGGAATGTTAAAGCACCTGGGCTCGTCGGGAGTAAACTGCCTAACCAAGGTTCTCAACCAGTTGCTGACCACTCTTCAAATACCCGACATGTGAAAAGTCGGAATAGTGATCCTATTACAGAAACCTGGTAAGAGGAATCATATCGTCCGATAACTCTCCTTTCTCCAGTAATGAAGACAATTGAGTCCTTGCTACTCCCGACCTTCACTCACCATTTCAGTCTAGCACACCACCAGCATGGCTAAAGTACACATCACCCCAACAGAACTTAGCGTCATAAACGCCCAAATAGTTTATGACCAAAAGCCACCTTGAGAGAGAACGATCTTCGTAGCGTTGAACTTGTCAAAAGCCTTTGTCACAGTCAACCACACAACGCTATTTGAGGACATCGAACAATCCACGCTCCCTACAGGCGTACCCGCAGGGTAATCCGCAGGGTCGTGTCCTCTCCATGTTGCTGTTTAATTGCTACATTTTGAAACGCCATCAATCCTCAGAGAGTGAAAGTTGAACTCAGGTGAATGATCCTATTTACATCCGTTTGAGGAGCAGAAGATGATATGGTGGTATTATTAGGTATTGGAACTTAGTTGAATATCTCGAACGCCGCGCTTTATCAAACATGCAAATCATGGAGCAAAAGTTTTATTTAGCTACATATACTTGTATTCAGTCATATTCAAGCAAACAGTGGAGGTAGACGCAAAATGGAATCAAGTGATATAATTACGGAAATTATTGACAATAAACCTAAAGGTTTACTGCAGGTGACTTCCAAAGTTTATTTTTATACGAAATAAGTCGAAATAATTATAAATATAATAAATAATCCAGGTAACTTATCCAAGTGGTGTTAAAGTAAAGAACTGAGCCCCACTCAGGTAAAGGATCAACCCTCTCAGTTAGGACTCGGAAAATGATGCTCTGTATACTTTGTTTATGGTAGATCCCAATCTCGTGCCGAGCCAACTAGTCGGGAAAGTTTACACTGTTTGGTTATTAATATTCCAGGCAATAAAGTAGCGGAAGGTCAAACTGTTGCGGAATACATTGGTTCTGGTCCACCAGAGAGTACTGGCTTGCACCGTTATGTTATCTTTGTCTTCAAGCAGTCGAACGAGATTGAGAGTGAAAAATTCATTCCGAAAACGAAAGTCACATATTATAATTTTCGAACTGTTACACATACTTGAATTTTTCATATTCTGAAATAATTAAAAATATTTTGAAAATTCATATTTGTGTGTGTAGGTGTAGTGAAAGTCGTGTAAAGGTAAAGTCCAACGATTTGATTGCAAAATATAATGTGGGTGATCCGATTGCTGCACAATACGATGATTATATCCCGGTATTAAGAGTACAAATTTTTAACTAATTACAGAAATAAAAAATTGTATTATATATTTTGTTTAATTTATTTAACAATATACCATATATATACATCAAATAAATAAAATGTAAAAAAAATTATTTATATAGATACAAAATGTTTACCTTTTACTTAATCTGAGTTAAAATTTAAATAAAACATTATTAAAAAACCCCCACCACAATCGGTTTTGCTGACGGCGTGATTAGGCAATAACCCCTAACGGCCATTACTAAGAAAACTTAATAAAACAATAAATTTTTTTTCACAAATAAATTTTTTAATTATTTATCGAAGCGGTGTGTGAGTTGCCCTGGAAAAGAATTGACACCCATTCAGATAAAGGATCCAATCTACTGCCGTTTCGGGAGCAGAGGATTATGTACTGTATACTATACATTGTGACAAAAAAGTAACCGAAAATTTTAAATACAATGCAAAATATTTAATTATTCATCAATATTTATTTCGTCGCATTCAAAGTAATCGCCGTCAGCAGTAAACAATTATGTCCACGATTTTTCCAGTCCTCGAAACACTTTTCATAAGCACTTTTTGGGATGACCTTTAGCTTCTTCAGCAAATCTTGCTTTAAGTTTGGTGAACAAGGAATCAGACCAAAGCCAAATCTGGTGAATACGGTGGTTGGTCGATGCTATTTATTGCATATTTTGGTTAAATAGGTCACAATCGTAGCTCGATAAAAAAAATCAGGTTTATCGGAACGAGCCGAGCAAGAATGCGTTTCATACCCAAAATATGCACCAAAATCATGCCATCGGACTAGCGAAAGACGTTGAGCTCTGGTGACATCGCTTTAACACTAGCCTGGCGATTTTCAAGCACTATATTCTTCACTTTTTTAATATTTTCCTCTCTTAAGAGGTCGAAAGTCGTCCAGAACGAGGTATGTCTTCAACGAGCTCTCGATTGTCTTTGAAGGCTTTATAAGACGCGTAGGCTTCTGCTTTTGATAAAACCGAATCACCGTAAGCCTTTACATATTAATAATCGCGCTTACATTTAGCATAGTGATTATGTGCAGGCCTACCAACTTAGTAAAATAAACTTTTTTGAAATATCATTTACCCGGGGAATTTAATTATAATTTACGTGAGCTTTTTTGTTTTTGATATTCGGCGCTGTGAAATTTTTAATGGTAGGCTGAAGTGATATTACGGTATCATTTTTAATTGTCCCGGAATGTATAGAGTAATTGGTATTATGAGATACTGCTACTATAAGAATATCCTTGTTAAGAATGTATCGCCGGCCAATCAACGGTAAAAACTGATTTAGGGCTTATTGGCTAACTCGCCATTTATTTCTTAAAACAGACTTATGATTAGTGAATAAAATAAAAAATCATAAGTTAAGCGCCATTTTTCATAAACTTGTAATATATAATTTTAATATAATATCGAGTAATTAATAGTTTAAAAATAGTGTAATAATGCACAAAAACAGTCAATAAATATAGTGGCCTAAATATCTGTGATATGACTATTGAATTCCTTAGAAAACATTAAATTAGAATGACACAGAAGAATGTTTTATTAATTTTTTAAACACAACTAGCTTTATTTTTGAAATAAACAGTTATATCGTATCTTGGTCGTTTATGAGCCATAACAACTTAAAGTTGCGTTATTAGCAAAGCTTCGTGATGACTGACATGCGCATTACAATGATAAACATTTGTGTAATGTGAAAAGTTTTCAATCAAAGTGAGAGCTGAGTACGGAGTGCAAAATCGCTTAAATTATTAAAAATTGTGCAGAAAAATAGTGATAAATAATGAAGTCATATTTCGATTGTATGCAATTTTTCTTAAATAATAAAACGTTCGAGGCGGCTAAATTCATACAATGTACTCGTTTCACACAATTGAAACAGTAAACATGGAATTTTGGAGTCAATGAAGTGTTGATTTTTTTACGTTCATGCTGTTGAGAATTTCTTTTATTTAACCATTGTATGTGATGGAAATTTATAGCTGTGGTTCTATATTTATGACCTTGATAGGATTGTCATTAAAATTTTATCAATTACAAATAATCTTTATTATAAGGCAATTCGTTTTTTTTGTATTATTTATTAATGTTTTTATTAATTCTCTTTAAGTCAAGCATGAAGTACTGTTAAGTGGGTTTTTTGTTTATAACTTCTACAAACTTCTTATTGCAAATACCACAGTTTATGCCGTGGTAAATATGTACTATATGTATGTTTATTAAGTAAATGCTTTAATGAAATATCTACACGTACATAAACATTGTACATATGTGTATTATGAAGGGTGTTCGAAAATTAACGCTAGAATTAAATACAAAATGAATGCAAGATATAAATTTGTAGCGATTTATGTAGTAAAAAAAAAAAACAAATCAACAACTGACTGTTTAAGTGGTAGAACAACGTGTCTACACCATTGCTACTAGTCCAAAATTGTAACAATATTTTTTTACAATCAAAAAAAATCATCTCATTAGGCAGTGTGAGCCATATTTTAAGTGAAATTTTGGGTTTTAGAAAGCAAAAACACATTCAAATGTGACTTTCTCACCAATATTTGGAGCGTTTTAAAACGAGTAAAGTGGATTTTGTGCGTCGATTCATTACTATGGATGAGACTTAAATCTATCGCCGTGATCCTGAATCAAAACAAGAGGTTAAAGAGTGGTATGAACCTGGTTGTTCGGCTTCGAAACGAGTTTGTGTGCGTAAATCGGCCAAGAAGGTTATGGCATCAGTTTTTGGGACACGAGAGGAATTTTAATTGTGGATTACTTGCGATCTGGTGAAACAATTAATTCTGAATATTATTGCAACCTTTTGGTCCAGTTGAAAAAAAGACCGGGTTTGCAGAAGACGAAAATACTTTTTCATCAAGATAATCCACCGTGTCACAATAGCATTTTGATAATGGCTAAAATCCAAGAATTAAAGCTCGAATTTTTGGAGTATCCATCGTATTCACCAGATTTGGCTCCCAGCGACTTTCATTTGTTTCCAGAACTAAAAAAAATTATGCGTGGCAAGCGTTTTTCATCAAATGAAGAGGTCATAACGGCTGTTGAAGCGTATTTTGCAGAATTTCCGGATTCGCTTTAGGATTGTTGGAGCAAGTGCATTAATGTTCAGACAGATTATACTGTGTAATAAAGGCTACTTTCAATTATGGTTTTCTTATCAAACGACAAAACTTATTGGTACCTGGTATATTAATAAGAGCACATGGACTCACCATTGAACAATGTGAGAATAAACGTAGTAAAACAAATGGTGAAAAGCCCTTCATAGGAATTTGAATGTTGACGTATTTTCCCACAAAAATATAGTATATCAGTTCAAAAAATTTTACTTTATTACGTTTTTATAATTTAGGGAATAGGTCGAAAGATCGGTAATGCACCTACTACCTCAATATTATATACAAAAGAGAAGCTTCCCAAAATAACCAAGTACCAAGTACAAAATATATATTTTATGTCAAAAAAAAAAAAAAAAAGAACACCCTAATACATACAATATACACACACATGCAATTACATATACATGCAGGTTATGAACCTCTCTGCTTGTTGGTTATGCACTGCACTCCTTTCTCAACTTGCGAGTGTCAACCGCCGAAAACTGTCGTTTGTAGGTGTACATATGTATAATACATAAAGTTGATGATTGTAGGCAAAAATTACTACGAGCATGAATGAGTACATGTGTGTGTGTGTGTGCAAATATGTGGGAGTACATCTGCGTGCCTACATATGGCCGCTACCGCAACGCCTCATAAAGACGTCAAAGTAAAGCTCAACTGTCGACTCTACGATATAACGGCATGCTGCTGCCTCGACCAACACCAACACCAACACCAATACCAATACTAACAACAACGACGACGACCAATTTTCGTATTTTCCTTTATTTTGTGAATAGAACGAAATGAGCTTTCCATGTCCTATAGCCAAAACTTGGAGAGCATGGCATGTGTGTGTGAAAATCCCGTTGAAAACTCTACGCAGGAATACACAGGGCTGAAAATTGCAGTCTAGTTTCGTCGCGATTGCAGTGTGGATCGATAATAGAACAAAAATTGGCAGAGTGAAATGTGAAAATTGTGGAAAATTATTTAATAGAAAATCCCTCAGTTGCAGAATAAGCAAAAATATATACTTAGTGTGAGTTACAGGGAGAAATAAATATATGACGGAAATAACAAATGTGTTAATATTTTTAAAGAAATTTATAAATAAAGAAATTGAAAATTCGCTTAAAGTGAAAATCAAAGAATTTAAAAGTTGCGTATACTAAATATTAATTTTCCATGAGCCGTACAGGAGCAACGAGCATTTGGGGACCTGAAGAGTGGTACTTATGATGTGCGTATGTGTGTTTTATGGGCAAAAATCAATGGAAAATTTATATTTCGAGTGAAACGCTTTTAAATGATTTGTACGACAAAATGTATTATTTTCCTATAATCGAATTATATATCGGTTAACCTTTCATGTTGTTAAACGGGCTTATTGAAGTGCTAAAAATTGTAGTGAAAATTTGCTTTGGTAAATTTTTCACCAATTTTAGTATGTACATGTACTTAGATTGAGGGGCCAAAATGATTACGAACGAAATGTTGCATTGAGCGGTAAGGGTAGACATTTGAGCTTTCTACGCATCTCCGCGACCCTCAAAGCCTTTGCCATCACATTGTTGTAACCTAAAAACAACAAACATTAGTAGCACTTGAGTGGTCATAGCTGTAGCCACTGGTTTTACAGCAGCAGTAGCAGCAGCCGACGTAGGATCTCTAGCAGCTGCTACGAGCATTTGGAGGCTATACCATAAATTTAATGTGATTGTGTTAATGTGTTTAATGAGAATGCAATTAAAAAATAATAATTTAACATAGTAAAGTAAATAAAAAAAGGATGAAAATAAAAATGTAGAAATATCTAATAATAATTATTACAATATCTAAAATATTAATTGCTTAAATAAAATTAAATATAAGTATTAAATAAAAAAAAAATGTTTAACCAAATTATATACATTGAAATAAATCTGAAAAATGTATTTTATACTTGCAGCGAATATATAACAAATGTGGTTATTAATGCTTTTTGGTTTTTCAAATCAAATAAAATAACATAAAACAATGACTGTAAAGTGTAGTATGAAAAGACGTTACGTTAAGCGTAAAAATGTAGTATAAAGCAAAAACAATCTATTAGCTAAGCAACCTTAAAATAATTAACCAATCAACTACGTAACACCGACCAACCGTCCGCTTCTATTTCGGAAATTACTTAGTTAAAACGTGTAAAAAACTTAGCATATTTAATAGCATACTCAATAGCGCTGCATGCTTCAGTTCACCTATGCGCGTTCATATAATAAACAACCAATACAGTGACGAAATCAATGAAAAATTCCGACACATAGCAAGAAAGAGAGGTAGAGCGCATCGAAACCACGATAAAAACGTTCTGTCTATATAAAAATCCGTGAGAAAAGCTCCCGGAAAGCTTTCGCAGCAAAAGAAAAGACGCCATAAAACAAATTGTAAAAACAAACACAACAAAAACAAAGACTAAAAACTAAAATAAAGCATAATCAAAGGAAATTAAAAAAGAGAGAGAGAGAGAGAGAGTTAGAGGGTTGAGAGCGTAAATTCAATTCAATGAAACTTACGCGCGATTCAAAAGCACATGAGTAGCAGTTATAGTAGTACGCGACGGCACAAACTCACATATCCTCGTAAACAGCACACATACATACTGACACACACGTGCCTGAACAACGTCAGAACGTATACATACGAACAAACAAACAGCTATACAAATTACGTACGAGAGATTTTGTCAAATGTAAAGGAACTTCAAGGATTTCAAGATATATACAAATTAACGACAGCGATATGCTAGACTCAATAGCAAGTGCTGCCGAAGTGTAAAAAATAGAAACTCACAACCACATTTATGTGCGTGTAGAAACATACACAAACATAAACAACTAAAAAAATCAAGAAGGACATCGGGAGTGAAAACTTGAAGGCGAAACTCATTTACTGTTAATAAAAGAAGAAAAATAATTAAGAAGCACAATTGTATAGGAGTGGGGATACAATTTAAATAATAGTATAGTGTGCTTTTTGGCGTAGAGGCAGCTGGTTTGTTGTATGCCACCTGCAGGTGCAAACTGCAGCGTTGAAATCGCGTTTAAGCGCAACACTTTGAACATATCAAAATAAAAACTTATATACACACATACACATACTTACACAATCATACACTATACACGCAACGCAACGCCGAAAAATATGCAACACTAGTGCAGTGTCACTTTTGAAGTCAGCAGCAGAATGTCCTTAGGCGAACTTTGTGAGCTGCTGCCAGGCAGTACAATGCGAAGGATCAACAACAATTTTAGCGCATTTGCAATGACTGCCGTTAGTTACCTCTCTAACGGTACAATAACATGCCACGGTAGCAGTAGTGGTGGCAGCGGCTGCTGCATTAGTGGTCGTCTAATAAATCGGCATAGCAACGACTACAGTAGCTGTTGCAACAACAACAACAGTAGCAGGCAGCAACTGCAAACTATACAACAAAAACTGCCACTTCGGCAAACATTGCGACAGCAAAGGAACAATGGCAATATCAATGCAAACTACAAATTCAGAAACAGCATCAAAGCAAAAACAACAACAACATCAACAATAACAACGAGCACATCAAGTGCAGTGCCACAGCTTGTGGGTTGCCCCGAAGCTGGCGACGATGTGCCGTCATATTCGCCCTATTCGAGTTGTGGACGGCTGAAACAGCGCCGAAAGTTGAGAACGCTGTTGCCGACAAATGTGACCGCCTCGGCGTATGCCCTTACCGGTTTGGTGCTGTTGTGTTCGGTGCTTCTATCGCCATGCCACGCTTTCCAGCTGGATGGCTCACAAAATTCTTTCGCCCAATTTCGCAAATGGTATACGGGACTCAATGGCTCGCTGGAGCTGGAGTTTAAGACTGAGCAGCCCAACGGCTTGGTGCTTTACACCGATGATGGCGGTACATATGACTTCTTCGAGCTGAAACTGGTGGAGGGTGCATTGCGTTTGCGTTATAATTTGGGCGGTGGAGCGCATATCGTAACTGTCGGCAGAGAATTACATGATGGCCATTGGCATAAAGTGCAGGTAAGTGGGTGTATGCTTGGTGCTTTGGTCCACAGTGTGAGGTTGGATGTAATGCAATATGTTTGCATTTGTTGTTTTTGTATTTTTCGTTACGTAAATATATTTGAGCGCTGTCGTTATGCTTGTAGGTGTTGCGCAATGATGAACAAACATCACTGATTGTGGATGGCGTGTCGCAGAGCAGTACGACCAAGGGCAAGGAATTTCAATTTGGAAAATTTGCCACCAACTCTGACGTCTATGTAGGCGGCATGCCAAATTGGTTGGTTATCTACCGAGAAATACCAAATGTTTTGTCCTCTCACCAAACTATTGCCATTGAGTCTATTTTCGTGATGAATTCATTAAGGATTTAATAACTATTTTACTAACTCTAAAGCTCCGAAGTCATTTTAACCAGAAGAGACTTTTACTCGATTTTGTAGAAATCAATGGGGGACTCGAAGGCGTCCACGGATTTGTTATAAATTTTCTAACACGATTTTATTTTTTCCGGTTTTGGAAACATCTGTACCCATAGCTTGTAAACCTTAGAATAGTTTTGTAAGATTTGCTCCGGTTTATTTCTAAATATTTCTTTTCATTTTACAAAAAATCAGAAAAGATGAAACCAAATAACTGAAATCATTATAATGTTTTGAAAAGTAAGGACACCTTGAGGTGAACAGAAAGTCAAATACGAAAGCATATGTTATAACATGCCTTGGATAAGCTTCCTTTTATAATTCTCCAATCGACTAACATTTTTTAAGAACTAACAGTAACCTGCTATCTACATTGATACCTTTCCTCCATAATTTTTAAATTCTAGTTGAACCGCCCTTGCTGTTTCTACTGTAATAGCAAAAATTATTCGAAAATATATCCAAATTATTATGGAGATAGTTCAACTTGATACTCAAATGTGTCCCTAGAGATATGACCAATTTTCAGCACACTTTGCAGAATTCCTTCATAGTTTTGAACTTAGTGGTTGCTTATTTTTGAAGAAAATAGAGGCTACAGTTATTACTACTCTGGTGATAACTTGATGGTTGCCGAATACGGCAAATAATGACAGTTGTGAATTATATAAATATTATAACAGGTTTTATTTAATTATCTATAGTTCTGATTAGTAATAACAATAATAATTAAATTTAAAAAATAATATGCATATACTAATCAGTAAAAAAATGTTATCAATACCTTCATACCTCCTAAAAAATTTACTGCTTCAACTTCAAATTATCAGTAGTATAGATAATTAGATAAGACCTGTTATAACGTCGATATAATTCATATCTGTCATTATTTGCCGTATTCAAGAACCATCAATTATTCCACCTTTGAACTTTAAGTTTAAGTTTGAAATTTTTTTTAGAAATGTAACCAAAACAACGTCCTTCTATGTTTAACGCCTTTGCAAATTGTTTTATTATTCCTTACTTGATTATGTATTAAATCCCTTAATACCGATATTTGAGTATTTGGCGACATCATTGTTTCTGGGTAATCCATAAAAATTTTTTGTAAAACGTAATCTCGACTCGTCTCCTGAAAGCAACAAAAATTGTTAAGACATAAAAGACAAGAAAAAATTTTGTTTTTTATTTCTTCTTGCTCTCGCAGCCGATTTCTATGGCGGCTTTTCAAATAAGTCTTGTTTTGTGAAAAATCTACACATCAGTGTTGCTTAAAAAAACGAAATTATTATAAAAATATATTTCTCTCGATCATTATCTGGTAAATATATCTAACAAGATCGTGTCAAATTTTCAAGCCGATCGGTCCATCTTCTTCGAGTAAATCGCGTTTAAGATATTGGGAGTCGATTACTCTAATATTAAAAATTTGTTATCAATACCTTCATATTAAGTTATTAGAGACTATTCTCAAATAAACTTATAATCATTTGATATATATGAGTATGTATGCAAGTTTTTTTTTTTTTGGAATTCACTTACGGATGTAACATCTTAACGCGCGAAATTGATTTTTCCCCAAAAATCGCTCTTTCAAATGCTCCGTCGAGATTCGTTTTGAATCCTATATACTGGTACTTTCAGTATATCAGCTGTACAAGGAATCTATGTATATACAAACTTCGTTTATACCAACAATATTTTTACATATTTGCTGTAAAATCCCGTATCGAACAATGCTGATCTAATATCATCAAAACATGATGAAATAATTTTTTGTTCTAGAATGTATCTAACTAGATATCTAATTTTAAGACGAAAATTTCGTATTTGTTATAAATATTTTATCATATATAGGGTGGTGAGACCTTTATTCTTGAGTTACTAAATAATATAAAAGAATGAGAGAAAGTAAAACAGCAGAAATATTATTAAAACTGTATCTCATGGAAAGCATTTTGATAATTATACACGTTTATTTTTAAAGGAATTTACTATATCTCATTTTCGGGTATACTTATGAGTTTCAAAAATTTCTGAAATTATGATTTCGGAAGATAAGAATTTTTTTATTTGGTTCAGTTAACGGTTTATTCACAGTTTTCAAAAAATATTCACTTAGTCTCAACGGGATATTTCTCATTTTTTTCTTCACGTGACTTAATTAATTAGCCTTTGCGCAATTTCGCTCTGGATACTGTAGCAGGTTATACTTTAACTTATCCAGAATCGACCCCGACATACCGAGCTTATGTTCTGTGTTCAATCAGTCCCCGATGACTGTAAGCACCACTTTGTATGTCCAACGAATACAACACGTCAAACGCCCATCTCCCTATGGTCCGAGCATGCCTAAATAGCATGTTACCAGGCCATACAGTTAGATGACTTTGATGATAACCGCTATAACAAGAACAACTAAATCCGACGTACAATTGAAATAGCAAAAAAGTTAAAATGTGGATTATTAATATATGATTATTATTCTCAGAAAACTTTGCTTTAAAGAAAATGTATTCGCGTAAATCTGTTCATGGAAAATTGGTGAGAGCGACATGTAATTTGAGTGACACATATGCACGCATGGCTGTGTGTATTTATTTGGTAATAATAAGTACACATAAATGCGAAAATACCAAAATTTATTAGTTAAGTGTAAATTTACACGGGATATCTTCTAATGCGTATGTGTTTGTGCATATCAACACATTTTTTATGGTGTGTAGGTACAGCACAAAGTTGGCATTATTAGCCTTGCCAAGCGTGATCTTCGAGCCGCGATTCCGGGGTGCCATTCGCAATTTGGTATACGCCGATCAGCCAGGTGGGGCGACACGCCGTCAGGAAATGAAGCAGCCACGTGATATAAAGGTAATTAACAGATTCTGACAATATTTTATTGTTTAACTATTTTTATTGGTTATAGTAACGTAATCGGACTTAAAGTTAAAATTAATCATTTCTGTTGTACTGATAAAATTATTCGAGACTTGACGATGGTGAAATGCAGCTGGAGATATGCTCAGATTTTTCACCGAAAGTTAAAGCATCTAGCTTAGCTAAAGTCAACCTGAACTCTATATTTCCTGCTGAAATGTATAGTAAAGGTTTTTACTACTTCAAGAAAATAACAATTAAATTAATTGTAATCGTAAATTATGAAGTGCTCGCTACAAGAAATTACCTTTCCTTAAAGGAGAAAAAGTATTTGTAAAATGTTTATTATCATTCTTCTGAAACTACCTTATTCACAATCAGAACAATAGTTATACACGTTTTTACTCACTCAGCGCTCATCACTCTCTTAGAAGCATCATTTCTTCTTCTCTTTGTGGTATGCATCTAATAATATCTATTGAAAGAGGTTCCCACCAAATCCAAAGTTGGATCTTTATGCAAGTTTTCTTTTTGCGATACATTTTCAGGGAAGTCTGCCTACCCAAGTATCTAAGACTGGATTTTAACCCATGACTATCTGTACAAAAATTAGACTACTAACGTCTATGGCTTCTACGGCCACTATTCAGATATACTGAATTTTTTAAAAAACGATTTACATAATCTTTTGTTTTTCTAATCGATAGTGTGGCGACGGCCCCTGCGATAACGGTGAAATGCCAAAGGAGAAGGTACCTAGGGTACGTAGTTTAGAAAATAATAGTACAGCATATGTATTATGCAAATCTGTAACTAAATTTCTCTGTTATGCAGGGTGTACGTGGCGGTAATACCACAGATGCTTGTGAACGAAGTGATCCTTGCCAACATGGCGGTATTTGTATCTCAACCGATTCGGGGCCAATATGTGAGTGTCGAAATCTCGAATATGATGGACAATATTGTGAAAAGGGTAAATTATATTAAGATTTGCTAAGTAATAGAAGACCCAAAAATAATACACTTACCTTATTTCGTTGCAGAAAAAGCGCCATCAGAAGCCACGTTTCGCGGTCAACAGTTCCTGTCGTATGATCTTGGTCAAACTAGTGCCGAGCCGATTGTAAGCGCTCAGGATGCCATTACGCTATACTTTCGCACTCGTCAACCCAATGGTTTATTATTCTATACAGGTTTGTATCTACTGCAATAAAGAATTATATATATACATAATAATTATTGCATTTGCGAATTTTGTTTCACCCACATAATCAGGGCACGGTACTGATTACCTTAATTTGGCGCTACGTGATGGCGGCGTTTCACTTACTATGGGTTTAGCTAACGGTAAACAAGAAATGCATATCAAACCATCCAAGGTACGTTTTGATGATCATCAATGGCACAAAGTAACGGTACATCGTCGAATTCAAGAAATATCTTCGATAACAAGCTTCTGCAGAGTAAGTCAATGTGCTTCAGTATTTATAAACACAGTTTTCGCATAATTTGGAAATATTTTTCTGTCATCTAGCTTGTCACGGTTGTTGATGATGTTTACACCGATCACTCGCATATTGCCGGCAAATTTACAATGTTATCTTCGTCTCGTGTTTATGTTGGCGGTGCCGTCAATCCACGTGCGCTGCTCGGTGCTCGTGTACATAATAACTTTGTAGGCTGCCTTCGTAAAGTTAGTACCATAAATATTATTACAACTCAATAAATACTAAATGAAAAATATTCCAAAAGGTTGAGTTCTCTGCCGATACATTGTTATTGAACCTCATCGATTTGGCTAAAAGTGGTTCAAAACTGATTCAAGTGGCAGGTAATGTCGAATATCAGTGTCCCATTGGCGATCCACAGGACCCAGTTACGTTTACCACAAGGGAATCGCATTTGGTATGAGTTCATTTTATAATTATAGACAAATATAGATTAGTTGTATTTTTGCTTTATATTGTCTAATACTTGACTTTCGCTTATGTAAACCACGATTTTCGTAGATTTTACCACCATGGGAGACGGGCAAACAAAGCTCTATATCCTTTAAATTTCGTACCAAGGAACCTAATGGATTAATAATTTTGGCCACTGGCTCCAAACAACCTCGCTCGAAGAATGTAAGTTTGTTTATGTATATCAATGAGAAAATATTATGATGAGAAAAGATTATGGATGCCGATTATATATTCTCTCTTTATTTTTTGGTTAATACTCTATAGCTTTACATTCTGTTGTGACAATTGTCCGTTGTATTTGTGCAATTTGTCAAAAGATGGAGTAACTTGGTTATTATTCCATCGTTCCAATAATCCAAACATTAAAAGCGAGTATATATGTTATTCAAAGACAATATAAGTGGGTATCGTATCATATGATGTCAATATGTCGTCATATGAACTCGTTTTACATTAGATTGTGATTGATGGTGAAAAATGGACGCCTTACGACAACTCTAAAGACCAAAACTCGCTGAGGTCAAAGTAACGCTCTGTATTTGGTGGTATCAGAAGGGTCTGATGTGGTTTGAGCTTCTAAAACTTTATTAATGAGAAACGCTACCGGCAACAACCCATCAAATTGCAGTGAGCGATTGCCGAAAAATGACTGATTCGCGAATAGATAGGAGGCAATAGTTTTCCATGATGACCACACTCCCCCTTATATTCCAAGAATATTTAAAATGTGTTTAGAAAACAGAAGTTAGTAAGTTCTGCTTCACCCGCCGACTTACCCCTTCTGAAAACCGTTTGTTGCGGCCGATGCAGAAATCTCATAACTGGAATACGGTCCACATCAGGACAGAACACCACATAGTATTTTCGTAGTTTACATATACTATATACATGGAGCGTTTCAAAAAATTACTCAATCGGCAAACATTTGTTATACAAGAGGGATAAATCCCTATAAACATTAAACTGTAATGTTTAGAGTTGGTTAAGAGAATTTTTCTTAGACGAGTTTCTTGTATGTTTATGAGTTGACCATATCGACCACTTTTAGTAGAATCTGATGGCTGTATAAAAGCGGCGTGTGATGAAGAATTGAGACTAACCCTCATGCAAGTGCATGCGCCACACCAGTAATTCATTTTACTTTTGTTCTTTAACTTACTTTAACTCACTAATGCTTGTTTACCGCCACAATTAAAAAGCATAATTAAATTGCTATATTTTCCAGGCCGTACTATTTGCCATTGAGTTATTGAATGGACACATTTACATACACTTGGACTTGGGTTCGGGTGCGGCGAAGGTGCGTGCCTCACGTCGTCGAGTTGACGACGGTGATTGGCATGATTTGATATTGCGGCGGAACGGACGGGATGCAAAGGTAAGCGTCGATGGCGTTTGGAATGAGTTCCGTACACCGGGCGATGGTACCATACTGGAACTGGATGGACATATGTATGTCGGTGGTACGGGTCCAGCGTACAATAATATCGCATGGCCGCCGGCTATCTGGACGGCAACATTGCGGCAAGGTTTTGTCGGTTGCTTGCGTGACTTGGTTTTAAGCGGCAAGGCAATCGATATTGCAGCATTCGCACGCTTGCAGGACTCAGGTATGTATGTACATACGTATACAGAAGTATGTCTGTAGCGCATATTAGATGTAAATGATTTGAAGTGTACGTGAAAGTATGAAGTGTTTTGTCCATTAAAAATAAATCGGACACAATTATTTATGCAAATAGCTGATAGGGACTTTTTCGTGTCATGGTGTAAAAAAGCAAAAAGCTTGGAAAATTATTATTCATTTTTGCATATGCTATGAAGAAAGAAGAAACCTATGTTGAAGACAACAAAAAAAAAAAAAAAACAAAATGGAATGGAATGTAGAAAATTGTTATGATAATGATAATGAAAAATAAAATTAAAAGCTGTTGGTCACCCTGAACATATGCATATGAAACATAAACGAATATGAACCTTTTTCAACAAAAATGCGTTAGTTTTGCTTCAACAGCTTTTTCAAAAGTCGAAAGAATTTCATCCAATTTTTATATCAGAGATTTTGTATTGAATTTTTTAGACGGTTTTAGAAGCATTTTGATTAAATATGTTCTGTATTTATTTTTAACGTCTCATAAAATTCTTTTTACAGCGTTGGTCCGGAAAGTAATAGGACTGAGTCGATTAAAAAAATTTATTGAACCAATCGTGATAATTTTTTAAAAAGTATCAAAATAGGCCATTTCTTCGTCGATGCAGTGCTGCCAGCTCGATTTCCAAGCATTGAAGGCGGAACGCATTCTCCGGAATAGCCTTGAGAGCCGAAGGTCCGAGCCATGCTGCTTGGATCCTCTCTGTCTTCTCAAAATGCATTGTCGGGTCTAGTTGTACTCGATTGACCCATCGTTTAAATCTCTTGAGGAAACTTGGCGTTGACGGTTTGTCAAGGAGGAAAAAATTCATAGTGGATGATGCCTTTGATGTCAAAATAGACAATGAGCATCGTTTTCACTTTGGATTTGCTCATTCTTGCACCACTCGCAGAGACACGTCGCGCGAAAATGTTTGTCCTGACTCTCCAGGCGCTCGGAGACAACTAAAGCTCGTTTGTTAGCTAAAAACGCCCTGTACTGAACCCAAGGATCAGTCACGGCGGAAGAAAATCAGTCCTATCACTTTCCGGACATTCCCAGTAGTTTGGATTGATTTGGACGTCACCTAAAGATTTTTGATATTCCTCTTTACTACCTGTTTCTAATGTTTGAGATAACTCGAACTCCCGATAACTCAAATACTGGGCCACGGGAACCATGCTCATATCTTCACAAAATATTTAACATAATTTTAAAAATCTATTCAAAGTACTATGTATGTAGTATGTATACATAATCAAATTTTTGACACTTACCCGCAGCATCGGTGAAGCCATCATGCCATGTACAGGCCAACGTTTGTTCCGGCAATCCCTGCTTGAATGGTGGCACCTGTATAGAAGGCTGGAATCGTCCCATTTGCGACTGCACTGCTACACTATACGCCGGACCGACATGTGGACGCGAGTTGGCCACATTGGCCTTCAACGGCAGTCAACATATGACTGTATGGCTGGGCAATGGTCAAGGCACCAAAACTCAAACTGAAGAGCTTATAATACGTTTCAAAACATCGCGACCCACCGGCTTAATACTGCTAACAAGTGCCGAGTCGAATTCGCCAGATCGCTTGGAGATTGCGCTGGTGGCGGGACGTGTGCGTGCCAGTGTGCGTTTAAGTGATCGAGAGAAGGTAATTATTTGAGGATTTTTTTTACTGTTTTGCATTTAAATGCTGTGCTATGTTATGTGTACTTTTAAATGCTTTGTGATTCTATAGAATTTACTTGCCGGTCAATCGGTGCTGAATGACAACAACTGGCACACAATACGCTTCTCGCGACGTGCCTCCAATCTACGGCTACAAGTTGACGGGGTTCCCCCTGTCAGGGGTATGTTATGTATGTATCACCAGCACTTCTATTTGCCCTACTACGTGTCGTGCCGTGTCGTTTTTTTCATTCTACCAAAAATTAAAAAAAAAAAAAAATAATAATAATAATTAGACAATAAAACAGAAATATTGAAAATAGTTAATAAGTAAATCAAGCAATAATAAGCGTAGGGGAAAAACAACCAAACTTCTTAGCAAGAACAACAATTGTAAATTTCTATGGTTTAATTTTGGTTGCTTTTTGTTATACTTTTGTAATTTTTGTGATTTATTTTTTATTTTTGTATTACCCAAGAATTTTGTATTTTGTTCATCGAGTGCGTCAATGGGCCATGAAAGAACTAACACAACTCTCTGCGATTTCGCATATACATAATGCATATGTATATAATATGTATGTGTATGACTTTCAGTGCAGTGGTCTAGTCTCTGTCAGGCGTACTCGGGATTTCATTCGAACCTGTTTTTTTTTTTTTTTTTTTTTTTTTTTTTTTTTTTTTTTTTTTTTTTTTTTTTTTTTTTTTTTTTTTTTTTTTTTTTTTGTTAACTGTAAATACTAGTTACAACAAACGTAAAAATACTTGTACTCTTTGTGAAAGTGTTAACCAATACCTACCTAATTTGCAATCACAAATCACCAAATCACTTAATCAACAACAACACCTGTCAAATGCGTAATGCATAAAATAAACAAAAACACAATCCAACTAAATGTCAAATTAACGTATAGGTAGACAAAAATTGTAGAATTTTACTCCTGGAATTTTTACATCTTCCATATAATCAAAAGTGGAGTCAATCTCTCATAACTCAATGTTGAGAGGAACAGAAAGTACCCTAAATTAGGTGAAACTAGTTTGCCAAGCTTTAAACTCCAAAGGCTGAAAAAAATTTCTTTTTTATACAAACATGTTGTAATTTTTATTTAAATGTTCGTACAAAATATTTTTGTTGTCAATTAAATACTATATAATTTACGGTTTTAATTTCCTCGAATCATTTTATCATATTTAAATTGTTATTGGTATATTGTATGTATCATTGTTTGCATACTTTCATATTAGACATATTTCCTTTTCTTGACGTTTATTTTATCCTGTAAAATAATATTTGATCATCACTTCACTAGCGAATCCTGAAAATCGTATTTATAAATATGACATCTCACATTAATACATACAATCACTTATACATAGTATATACATGCATACATACATCTTATAAATTCATTCTGCTTTTATGAAATTCGTTTGTTACAATTTTATATTTACTTATTGTACCTTAAACGTTACTTGTACCTAAATTTCTGTTTCGTTTTAAAAGCGATCATGGGGCATCAGAAGGCTTTTAGAAAAATTCTAGTAAAATAGTTGAATATTTCATGAAAATTACACACTCTTCATACATTGTAGACACAGAAAGTCTGTAAAAATCTGTCAAAATCGGTTGATCGGTACAAACAAAGAAACATAATTTCGAAGAAAATTATTCAGATAGTCTATAAGTACATACATATTAAAATTAAATTATTCAGATAGCCTATAAGTACATACATATTAAATATAAAATATCAGCGTAATAACCATGACCGTTTGTCTGCCCGTATATATGCGACGTAGTCCTTCATATTGTTCATATTGAACAAAAAATTTTCACCCAGTTTTTATTTCAATTTGTACGATTGGGATCAAGTGCTTATATGGAAGACTTTTTCATTTGAAAAAATATCTTAAAGAAATTTGCCATCAAATATTGCCTTAGGTCCAATCTCGGAAGAAAGAGTTAGATTGACTTCAAGTTAGTTCTTCATTAAGGGGTTACAATGGTTTCCTCTTGTAAAAAACATCTTTTTCAACAATTTTTTTTACAAAAATACTCTATTAACAAAGAAATTCTGAAATTCTTGGGAAAAAAGATGCACCCGCGTTGGCACAATAACTCCTTACAGGATCATCTAAAGTGAAAAATACGTGTTTTAGTTGTAAACCTTAACTTAGAACTTGGACGAAGGAAAGCAACTAAAAATGGGATTTCACAAAAAAATTAAAATACTATAAAAAACTATTACCCGATTAAACTTAAAAATTAGGACAAAATTCTAGAGATGATGTAGAATTTAATAAGACCATACAATATTTTTTTAACCCGTAAACCCATGTAACCCCTTAAGATCAGAAAAATATTCCTAATGAGTGGCAATAGCGGACGTATTCTTCGATTGTCTACCGAATAGTTGTTGCAGATTTTATGAGAAGCAGAAACAGTGAGACGCATAAATCTTAAATATTTTGTAATTTCGGTATACATTTTGGTAAATAGCCTGCAAAACGGATTTTATTAGCGTTAAGGTGACAAAAACTGTTTTCGAAGTTCTATTTGTTGAATATATATATACAAATATACAAACTTGGGTGCCCTGTGAACGCATAAATTTTAACCTCTGTTCTTGTAAATTTGAAACTTTTTAAAATCTTGATGTCGTGTTTTCATTTGCCTCAATACCAAATTGCCTTCTTTTATGAGAAAATGAAATTGAAAATTTTCTTTGATTTTTACTTAAATTCTCCCTGGAGCGAAAAAATTGATTAAATTTCAGCAAGAAAAGTTAGAATTTACTAAAGACACTTTAGCAAAAAGGTAATAGTACTGAGAGTGCATGCTTTAAGAAAATAAGAAAACGAAAATCTCATCATAGGGAAATCTTTGTGTAACATGTCTGCGAATATCAGCAAAAAATTGGTTGCTTGCAGTGGAAATAAGTTTCATTAAATCTGACTTATATTTTTTTGATGGATTGTTGGATTACAATGCAAAATTTCACTTTGGTCATTTTTAATGTACATAATTACATAAAAAATAACTGTATCGATATTAAATAAGTATTTAACTATACATACATACATATGTATTTCTCATAGCGCGTACATTTCGAAAGGTAACCGTAACATTTTTCGTGTTTTCTGTAACTTCGGGAATATAATATTTTTTCAGTGCGAAATTGAGTTAAATTTTCTGCAAAATACTCTCACGATAACACAAGGAAAGCTACAAGAAAATATTAAAGTGTGAAAATAATTCGTATAGGTTTGTATAGTGTTTTATATATGATAAATTAATAATTAAAAATATTTTATTTTTGACAAAGCTTTTTCAAAATTGAGAGATTGTTATATTTTTTTTTTCTTAGAGCAGGATTTAGAGAAATTAAAAAATCGACACGCAAGAACAGGTGCGCATTTTTTTGTTGCCACTGTTATTGTGGTTGCTGCTGAAGAGGCACTAACAATTGCGGCAAAAAAATGTTTATAAAGCGCCGGGGCTGTAATCTGCACCAATTACTAATATTCTTCTAGTGTTTTATTCTAATTCTATATATTCGTGTACTGCGATATACTAACTTAGTTTGTGTTAATTGCAGAAAAACAAAACAAAAAAAGCATAACCTAAAACTAATCTCACAAATCGTAGCGATGCATTTGCAATACTACACAATAATGTACGTGTGTTTGTCTTCACCTACGAAATTTTAATTGTTTATATATTGTCGCACAAGCACCAAAATGTCCGAATCGCGTGTAGCGGACTTCTGCATACCTACTACATACTTACATATGTACTTACATACTAAATAGTTTGCCAATTTCGTAAACCCGTCGCACTGTTACTACGCAACCACCGTATACACGCGCCAGTCCTAGCTCTCCAACACCGCCACCCTAGCTGCAGCTGCACCTGGTTGTGTGTGTGCGTGTGCGTATGTGCGTATACATATATGCATGCATGGCGCCAATTTGCCGCTCTAACGGCAACACGCATATTTCGCATGTTCTATAACTAATACACAAAAAAATATTATATTTTTTATGTATGTATGTATATTTGTAATTTATACTTTTATTACCACAAATTATAACTTTTAATTTGCATGAATGATTCTCCACAATCGCAAGTCTAAAAATTGCTGCCTGCTGTCTCAAATTCTAGATCATTAAGTCATTGTCATCAACATCAACGATATCTAAATCGCTGAACGTCCTCAATCATCCTCATCATAATTGAGTTATAGAAGGGTATTCACAAACGCATAAAGTTGCCTATAACTATAACCAATATCATTATAGAAAACGAAATTCTGATATTACATACTATATATTATATTATATTATATTATATAGTATGTATACCTTAGAGTTCCTTGGTATCTAGCAGATTACTTTAATTGATATCCTATATTCTGTTTATAATAGTTCGATACAAAAAATCGATAAAAACTAAGGTATCCACAATTATATTGTGAATTCCCATTACATAACGAAATTTACACACCCACTCCATTTATTTACACGTACATATATAATATATATAATTATTCGCGTGCATATACTTATGTATGTATATGTGCATTAGCTGTTTCATTCCGTGCCACCTCATCAACCTGAAATCGTTTCGTGAAACCGCTTTTGTTGTTCCACCTTACATATGAAGTTATCATAAATAGAAATGTCAAATGTCAAAGAAATTTATGAAGTACCAACTATAATCTTACATTCTGCACATACTTTTGTTTTCTCTTATTTTATTTATTAGTCTCTTATGCGCATTATTTCCTAATTTAATTATTTCTTTTTAGAATTTTTGACCGAAAAATATATTTTGTATTTCTAAAAATTAAAGTTAATACCGAAATACTGTCAAAGCAGCGGAATTTTGTATGTTTGCATTCTATTACACAGATTTATGAAAAGTTAGGCTAGATTTATTAAACGTTTACGTTCTTTATTTACGTTTTCAATTCATTGCACTTTTAGACTTAACTGCTGAAATATAAAAGTATTAATGTACGTTCCCAACCTGGCGCACTCTTTATGTCAATCACGATACAGATATATACAAAGGTAGATTTTTTTCTTTTTATCCAAGCTATTTCTTTCCTTCTTCAATTTAATTACTAATTTATTTTTAACTCAAATAATTTAAAAAACTTTCGTTACAAAATCACTTGGCGGAAAGCAGAAATTTGATTAGATAATATTTTTATATTATGTATAAGTATTTTCACTGGGATAAATCAGGCAATAACCACACCCACCATCCATAGAAACACTAATTCAAATAATTTTGAATATATTATTTAGCTAAAAACTCCTCTGCCGATTTTTCTCGAGATGCCGTGCTGGATTACAATAACGCTAGAATCGAATAAATCGTAATCTTAAATTTCATTATCTAATTCTAATTCATTTACTAAATTTTTTCATACATTTCTTATAAGATTCATAGGCTTTCAGTGTCTTCAGCGAATTTTTCTTAGATTGTTTGTAATATAGTTTTATAAGCCCAGCACGTCTCGTCACCAGTAAAGATATGTTTGATGAATGTAGGATCCCCAACCACGTGATCAAGCATCTGTTTCCGGACTTTCGACACCTTCAAGATTTTACAAGCTTTTTACATTAACCAAAATATTTGGCGTCGATCCATAACAGATCTTTTGCTATCTGTCTGATTTCCAGACAAGGACTTCCAAGCATTATTTGTTTAACTTTTTCGATGTTATCGCCAGTAACCGAGCGGAATGGACGACGCGCAAACGACAAATTTTCAATGACGTCATGACCTTCACTGAATGCTTTGTGTCACTAAAATACTTGTGTTTGTGATAAATTAGATCCAAAATATTTCTGTAATATTTTCAACGATTGAGAGATCAAACCTGATACGCACATAAAAAAGGTTCTACCAATATAGAAAATAGTTTTATTTTAACGATTTGGTTTGCTCGAGCAATTTAAATGAAACAGTCCGAATCATATTTGATCAGATGGTAAGGATCCATGTTTACTCTGACGATATTTAATATACATATTATTATTAATGGATCAGGTATTTCACTCACAATAAACATCACAAATATGGTACATCTTATCCACTCGGAGTGATTTCCAGAAAAGGACGATTATTAATATTTTCGATAACAATACTATTACAAGCGGTTCCATTTTAAATATAACAAAGTCTACCTAGAATATGAATCATGCACATATATATATAGTAGACAAATCTACAAAAATAGTGACTAATTTTGAAAATAACATACTACATACTTATTTATTAACTGCCAAGTGATTTTTATGAATATGCGTTCCTCTGTTATTCTTCTTATTTAGACACTATCCTTATACTCTTGCAACATGCTTCAAAGTATAATAGGTTTGGTCAGCTAACGGTTGTACGCATCACCAAAAACTAAACGAAATATATATATTATATACATATATAAAAATTAGACAAGTTGAAATCTGAGTGACTGTGATCTGTCTGCCCGTACGTCCGTCCATGCAAAGCGTAACTTGAGAAAAAATTGAGATTTCTTGATGAAGCTTCATATGCACGTACCTATTACCAGGAAAATAGAAAGGGCCACCTGTGGAAAAAAACATTGAAAAAGTAGACGTGGTCGCGCGTCTAATAAGTTTAATGTATATACATATCTTCAAAACTGTGTGAAAATAGATGAAATCGGATTACAGCCACTTCTATGTACTTCCCATATAATACAATTTTAAATGTCATCTAATTCTTTCCTTTCAAATTTACAAAACAAGAAGAAATTAATATAACGGGATTAAACTTTGCACGAATAGTGCATTTGAGATGTGCCACCTTATGACCAAAAATTGTTCGAATCCAACAAAAATTGTTCCAGCTCATGAGTACTGAATATGTGGACCCCTGAGCCTATAGTTTACTTTTGATGTTGTTGTTGTTGTTGTAGCGGCAGAGTTCTGCCCAATTGACAGTCCTTGACCGAATAAATATTCGGGTTCGTTCCGGTTACGTAGACCCGACTGTCGTGGGAACGAACTTATGATCAAAAATATCGGTCAAAGTATGCGATATATATTATAACTGAAATTTTGATAGAATCCTTTACTGATAATATTATCTCTATGTATCAAAAATGGTTTGAATCGGGTCAATAATTTCCTTTATACCGCATATCCAATATGTGAATTATCTTAATAAATTTGAGAGGGTCTTTTTTCTTATAACGAAGCATATTTGAGCTTAGAATAAAGTTACTCCCCTGGCTTTAGGACTTGCAAGTTGCAAGAGTATGACATGTTCGATTATACCCGACTTAACACTTTTTTACTGGTTTTTATTTGATTTTCCAATAATTATAAACTGCACAAGTTTAGTAATTCAAACTACAAAACTATATACATATACATATATCTGAACAAGAACTCAACGACTCACCAGAATTGCTTGAAACTTCTTTAAATAATAAATATATTTAAATATTAATATATTAATATATACATACATATGTATGTACGTAAAATTGTATAGTCATAATAATGGCTAATACACCTGCATATGATAGACACGTACATATATACATATGTCTAAAGCTATTTACTCTTATACATATTTACTTATGAGTCTATCATCTACTGTGCAACTTACTTTTATGCATTTCACTAAGTGAAATATTTGTTAAAGCAACATTTCTTAGTAATACAATATATAATACATACATATACACTATTATACTTACGTACCACACAAACATACTATACATGCTTCATATAATTTAAAGATATTGTAAAAATGTTGTATTTTGAGGAGTGGACTTAGAACGTCCACTTCAAAAGTATGTATTTGCAATACACATACGAATGTATGTACTGTATGTTGAATTTGCCATATATTATTTACTCGTACATATGTATTAGTATAATTAATTGACTAACGAATAACCGTAATTATGCCGTAGTTGAATTAGGTGTGCGTTGCATGAGTGATTTAGTATTTTATCTAGCGTACCTATGTATATTCCGACAGCGGAGACTATACTCGGTCGCCACAGCACCATCGAGATACGTTCCATTCACTTGGGTGGAATGTTTCATGCCGAGGAGGAAATCCAAATGACGTCGACAATGCCGAATTTCATTGGCCAACTACAGGGATTTATTTTTAATGGACAGAGGTGCGTTAAATTTCAATTCTGTGGTGAGATACAAATATATGCTTCCCATTTGTACCGTTATTTCAGATATATTGATATTGTTAAAAATTTGGGTCCCGAGTTATCGGCACTGCCAAGCGCGACCTTCAAGTTGACAGCGCGTTTTGTGAACTCACCACCCGGTAATCCCTATCATGCTGCCACCTTCCGTTCGAAGCACTCTTATGTAGGTTTACCGATGCTGAAGGCGTACTCAAGCGTCTCGGTGGATTTCCGCTTCAAAACAGTCGAACCCAATGGTTTGTTACTTTATAACGGTGGACGACGTAATGATTTCATTGCCTTGGAGTTGGTTAACGGTCATATTCACTATACCTTTGATATTGGTGACGGGCCGATAACAATGCGCGACAAGTCGCGCATACACATGAATGACAATCGCTGGCATCAAGTAAGCATACGTCGACCGGGACCCAAAACACACACCCTCACCGTGGACGATTCATTCGAGATTGTTACCCTGACCGGCAACAGCATGCATTTGGAGCTTTCGGGCATACTCTATATTGGTGGCGTGTTTAAGGACATGTACGCGAAATTGCCGGCGTCCATTTCATCGCGTTCTGGTTTTGAGGGTTGCTTGGCTTCTTTGGATCTGGGTGATACATCACCAACATTGACTAGCGATGCGGTTGTGCCCAGCTCGCTGGTGGTGACTGGTTGTGAAGGTCCGACCAAATGCAGTCAGAACGCATGTGCCAATCGCGGCGTTTGCGTACAACAATGGAATGCCTACGTGTGTGAATGTGACATGACTTCGTACACCGGTCCGACGTGTTACGATGGTGAATAAAAGGGTTTTTTCTTAATTAATTGCAAAAAAAGTTACCAAATCTTTTTTTATACCATTTTACTTTTATTTTAGAATCAATCGCCTATGAGTTCGGCAATAACAAGGGCATCATTCAATATGCTTTTCCGGAAAACATGCAAGCAGATACCGAAGAAGACAATGTCGCTTTGGGCTTCATCACAACCAAATCCGATGCTGTGATATTGCGTATGGAGAGTGCGACCACACAGGACTATATGGAACTGGAAATAGTCGAAGGCAATATATTTATGGTGTATAATATTGGTACGCGCGATTTGCCGTTAGGTGAAATTGGCACCAAAGTGAACGACAACACCTATCATGTGGTGCGCTTTAGCCGTAAAGGTGGCAACGCCACACTCCAGCTCGATGACTATAATGTGCAAACACTGACACCACAAGGTAAACTAGGCAGATAAAATACATTCATTTGGGTTTTCATTTCTTTCTATATATATTTTTTATCAGGGCATCAATCGACTGTGTTTAATACCATGTCCAGCATTCAAGTGGGCGGAAAGTTTAGCCGTGGCGGTAGAACACGAATTGAACGTCCATTTGCTGGTGTTATTGCCGGTTTGTCGGTGAATAAGCTACGCATACTGGATTTGGCAGTTGAACGTGACCCACATATAACCATACGAGGAGATGTTCAATTGGTAACTGGAGTATTAGATAGAAATGATCTGCAAAGAATGCAGCAGGTTAGGGAATTTATTTTAAACAATCAAACTTGCAAACTCTTCAAATCTCAAGTATTCTCATCGTAAATAAGTCTTGCAAAAAAAAAAAAAAATATTTATATCAATCAGTCGATCTTTCTCTCTTGGTCATATGAATAAATAATTTATGAGCCATTGGGCGAACAAAACACTTCACAATCGCTAACACACACACACACACATTGCACAGATACAAGAAAAATTTTTTTAACATTACAACGAATGTGTGACTGAAAAGAACATTTTTGGATATGGTGCGTCCTAAAAATTAATAATATTCTTACAAATTAATGTTTTTACTTTTAAGATTTGCAATTTTTATATATGTACACATAATTTTTTAAAAGTAGTTAGTTTTTATGGGGACAAAGAAAATAGGAAAAAGATAAAATCAATTTGTATCAAAATCTAACTGCGTAACTATAGCACAATACCGGGAACCTGGGTTTGGTACTCAATACCGAGTAAGCCAAAATGCTTCCGATCAAATCGTTTATAACGGCCCTCTTAAGAATACTTTTTGCTCTCATGGTTTTGAATTTTAATACATTTAAAAAAAAATTTTATAACATAGTTATACTTACTCATATATAACAACCAGGTACTCTAGCAAAGCATTGATATTTTACCGAATTTTTATAAATGGTGTTTCACAATATTATTTTTTACTGAGTTTTTGTCGCACTCTCCAATTTTATATATCGTTACATAGTCTATATTGTCAGATACAAATATTTGGTAGTCGAAAAAGTTTTTTCGTATTTTGTCAGTAGATGTCGTTGCAGTCATATATCTCCAGTTCTATCAATCACATTGTGTTGGTGAGATCTTAAGCTTCATTTAAACAAAAGAAATTAAGTATTCGGGAAAGTTGAAAAAAGTTACAGCCATTCAAAAATGAGTGAGTATAATGAAGAAATTTGCTATATTTTGACATTCATATTTTTTTTACATATTTTGACATCACCAATGAAATTTGTGATGTTTACGGAGACAATGCTGTATCACTTCGTGTAGCACAACAATGGTTCGGTCGCTTCCGTTCTGGAAAAGACTTCTTCAACTATTTAATATATAGCGTTATAGACCTAGTTTTTATAAATGAACAATTTTATTATATAATGTGAACCAAAGGACTTCAAATAACGCTCACAATATCCATAACAAAACGGTATATTTACATATTTAAGTTTTTTATGTTGAAATACTAATTAAAGAAATGCTTCCTACAAATATATCAAAATGCGTACAAAAATGGCTCATAAATTATTATCATATACTATATTGTATATTTGTAAACTTTTCATACTAATTAATAACATTGTGGATTGTTTCGATGTAAAGTTTTATAATATTGCATTCGCATTCTTTAACCTAATATTATTTTATTTAAAGAGAATAGCAACCATGCCTATGATTAGTTAAATCACTATTAATACTTATGTACATGTACATTAGGGTGTCCATTATTTACCAAGATAAGTTTTTTTGCAGACTTTCCTTGAAGTTCCATTTTACACAAAAAAAACAAAAAAAAAAAAAAATGGTCCACCTTAAAAAAGCTCTTGTTTGCGTGTATTCATACAGTACACCATGTCGCATGAGCAACACAGAATTTATAATTCACTTGTAAGAATACTCGTAATGCTCGGTTTCACAGTCCATACGTAAGTTGTGCTTAAGATAAAACAGGAAAATAGTGTTTTACAGATTATACTTAAGTTATGCTTAAGTCTGAAAATGTCAGACTTAAGCAGTGCTTAAGTAACAGCTGATTTTTGTTTTGAGTTGTTTTGAATCTTCAGTTATTTGTCAAAAGAAGTAATAAAAAAATATTTTTTGAGAAAAAATTTGGAGTCATCCAGTTTCAATAGGTGCTTCGTCCATAACATTGCCATATATCATAATTAAATTTTATAAAAATTAAGCATTGACTGTGAAACGCTAACGACTACTCAGTCTGCAACAATGCTTAGCTACGATTTTATTTGGGCACAACTTAAGTATGGACTGTGAAACCGGGCATAAAGCGTATAACTTTTAAAGCATTGTTTTTATGGAAAAAATTAAAGAGCTATTTTTTGTATTGCGAACATTTTTGTATTAAAGTATAACTTCTCCAAAGTTCTATATTATACTTGCTTAATGCAAAAATTCTATGATATGTACATGGGAAAATAAAGAGCTTTCTTACATTGGATAATGTTTTACAAAAAAAAAAAACAAAAAAGTTTAAGGGCAAGTTTGCAAAACAAAAAAACAAACAAAAAAAAATTTATAAATAAAATAGTAAATATTGAACACCCTAATGCATACAAACATTCATACATAAATATTAATAATACGTGAGCCTGGGTTGGTATTCAATATGCTTATTTGATTATTTGCTACTTTTACTGCACTTACAACAATAAGAGAATTTTACACATTATACTCCCATTTATACATGTATATGTGTTTTTAAGACATTTTATTTTGTTGTTGTTTTTTCATAAAATTCTACTGATTTTTTTACCATTACAAAAACTCTTCTTTATTTTGATCCGATCTGAATAATGTCTTCGGAAATTCCTGGTCTGATACCGGCAGGGGGATTTGTCGATAAAGGACATGTGTAAAATTTATGAATGATGAATTTAATTTTAAAAAAGTTTTTGATAAAATGGTGGTTTCTAAATAAAATCGATTATAGACCAAAATTTCGGACATTAGTTGTTTATAGTAAAAAAATTTTAATAATTACTAAAAAATATATTTAAGAAGCGCGTGTGGAAATTTCAGACTAATCGGTTTATCCGTTTTCAAGTAATGCTGGGCACAGACTTTGAAAACACTATTTTGGGAAACACTTTTTGAAAGTTTGGCATACAAGTTATAAAAAAGTTAACTTTGGCAGTATATACATATGTATATAAAAGGACAAATAAAGACAAATTTGGCTATTTGATAGCTAATTGTTTAGGTTAAATTGCTGTAGACATTTTTTTATTTAAGGTGTTTATTTAATTACTTAACATACATACATATGTATAATATTTTGCGCTAAAGCACACTTTCATGTAATTTATATTGGAACCACACAGTTTTTATTCACTAATAATATTAAGCACTAACCAATTCGATCATATTTCAAAATCCTTTACATCTCTTCATGGTTTACATACAAATATCTACATATGCAAACATAACAGTATATTCTGCATGATACTCGTAATATTCATACCCGAATTCTACATATAAAATACTCCTTTACTACATATAAAATTGCATTGCTTGACTTAACATATAATACATACATACACACATTTAAACATACATCTTCATGCGCTGTAATGGATGTCATTAAAACTGAAGCATAAATTTGGATTTGCTGTCTATGAAAATGTTTTTTTTACATATTTCTGCATTTCATGACACCTACGAGCAGACCCCAGCAAGTGGCTATCCGGGCGCCATTGATGATCTGATCTTCTCGGGCGCAGGTTCTGGTTGTCGCGGTGACGATGAAGATGAGTGTACACCACCATTCGAATCGGGCAGCGGTGATGACTTGATTACGCCTGTGTATGTGCCCCCCACAAAACAAACAACAACAGCACAAGTTGCTAATACAGACAAAACTAACGGTACGGAACGTGCTTGTGACGATGAGGACTGCCTGCATGGATCTGGTGATTACGGCGAGACTACGGAGCAGTTCACTTCCACCAGCACAGCGAAAGGATCAGGTAAGTGCCAGTGTTTGTTGTATAAGTAAAGTAGTAGAGAATTTATTTAAAAGTTAAGTTGTCATTAGTTGGTAGTCAGTATGGTCATTTCATTGGCATATCACTCACAATAATTAAGCTGAGAAGGCAGTAGAAGGAAGACGCGAATCGAATTAATAGAAAATATAATGCGGGAAATTGAATATAGTATGCGAATATGTTTTTGAAATTATTTATATAAATATTTACCTATTGAAGTTTAGAGGAGGATTGGGATTCTAGTTAAGATCAAGTCATGGAGACAAATAGAGCAATCATATTCAAGAGACTCGGAGTTTCTTCTTGTTTTAGACTTAAGGCATTAGCCATTCCAAGATACAAGTCTATGAAATGGCGAATTCTACTTCAACAGTAATAAATTTAGAGATTTCATGAAGTTTTTATATCCTGGACAACCGTCACTAGTCCCTCAATGTTTGAGCTATTGATCTGCATACTTCTTTTTCTCACTAAGAATCTCTTCATACATATAAATTAACTGATCAAAATCAAGTTTTAGTATCGAAAACTTTTTTTACTTGAAAATATAACTTCAGGAAATTTGGCCTGGACTATTGTCCAAGGAAATGATATAATTTCCTAACAACTTGTTCAGTTCGAACTACTATATATACATATAGGCATTTAAATTGACTTTTAAAGATGTAGATAAAGAATTTTTGAAGGTTGTTTGTACCAAATTTCGTGGCTAGGAAGAACTAACACACCGTTGGTCGGTTACGTTTCGAGGTTTAGTTATTTATATAATTATCACATATGCTACATGAAATGCACTGTTGAAAGGTATATAATTTCACTGCAGCTGAAGTTAACAGGTTTTCTACGAGCGTTCAGAACTTGACAAACCGTATTACTCCTTTCAGTAGAGAGACTTTATCTCTCAAAAAAGAAATTAACCAGCTGTTTAGACCGGGTTTAAATGGGTTTAGAATTCCGCGAGGAACGCGAGTGACCCTTGTGCAACTTCGTTCTGGATATTGTAGCTGGTTAAACTCCTACCTATCCAGAATAGACCCAGACGTACCCAACGTATGTCCTGCACGCAACGAGTCTCCCCATGACACTGACCACCTCTTTACATGCCCAACCAAACCCACCCATCTAACACCCTTTTCCCTCTGGTCCGACCCCGTCGAAACAGCACGTTTCCTGGGCCTCCCGTTAGATGAGATCGACGACAACACAGATAGCTATCACCATCCCAACGGGAACTGATAATCGTTAAAACAACAAACAACAACAACCGGGTTTTAAGGACCAACTTATATATGCTTCTGATTTTAAAAGAATAAATTCGGCTAAATTCAAATATGAAATGTGTGTGTTTTCTATTTTCAAGATAAAAGAACGAATATCTAAGACCATAAAACTTTTAACTTTTAAACTTCAGTACGGTTATTAGATTATCTCGCCTCGCCATACTTACATATAAATATATGTGCATAAATATTGACTAGAAATAAAGGTATGCTACAAAACTCCTTCATTAATTATGAGCACCTTCTTTCCCCTACTTTACCAAGCATTTCTATAGCCTCCTATCCTAGTCTATATAAAATAGAAACTTTATATTGGAAATATTCTACGTAATCGACACATATTGATTTAAAAATATTTTGTACTAGACATACAAATAATATTTGCATGTTTGCCACAGATAGCTAGCTGATTATAGTACCGAGGAGAAATTTAGACTAGTCTAAGCTTAAGTTCAACATGCATATTAGACACTTGTGTGTATGTGCAAGTGTGTGTACATATGTAAATAGCATGGCTTTGGCCTGTCAGTTCATCAAGAGATAGATTTGCGTATCATTTGGTCGTAGCAAACATTATTATTTCATAATGTCAGACATACAAATCGCAACTCCAAGCATTCAAATTCGCTAAACCAGACAAAGAACCAAATAATTACCAAAAAAAAAAAATATATATATATATAACAATCAACAACATTTCAATCAACCAATCAATCAGCCATATTCGTACATTCACCACAACCACTGCCGTTCGCCCATGGAAGCTCGTTACTCGTTTCTTGTTAATCGCTGTTCCACAACTTGAAATCTTGATTTCATGATTCTGAGTTGGAATTATCTCTTTCAGAAAATGAACTCTTCATATTTCTGACTTTGATCGTGCAATGGATTTGCCACTTGCAAACAATGCAATCGTAGAATGAGTGGAATATGTGGCGAACGTGATCACAACAACAAGTTGTATTCGAACTAAACGAAAAGGCCAAATTGAAAAACAAACAAACAAAAAATGAAATATTAAAAATAAATAAAATGTTTAATAAAAGAATATCAGAAAGAATTCTATCAAAAAGTTCAGTTTACTCACAACACGACCATGCCCACCACGATCACGATCAACAACACTTGCAAAATTACAACAAAAGACAACATCACCATCATTTTGCTGGCCACTCACTACAACTAGTACGCGTTTACTGTTATGTAATTACGTTTTAACTACGGCAAAGTGTCAACGTCGTTTATGTCTAAATCTCTAGCGGCAGCTTTAAAATTGGTTCAACGTTAAAAATAAATAAACTCAACGGTGTATTGAAATGACGGCTAACTGTATATAGTAAATTCGTCGCATTTGTAAAATGTCAGATGAGCCACTTACTAATCATAAGTATGACCCATAAAAATTGTAATAATGAATTTAAATTTAACGGAACCATTCCGAACATAAATATGTGGAGGTGTATATGCAAATATAAGACAAGTAATGTAAGCGTTATATAGTTTGTATGTATATTTGTAGTTATGGGTTTGTAAGAGAGCGCGCAGGTGGGTCAAAGCATGCATGCAACATTACTTGTATGCATGTGTATGTAATTGCGTATGTACATATATGTATGTATAAGTATAAGTGACTTAGAAATGCACATGTTATTCTTTAAAACACATATCCCCTAATTAATTTACAAATTTATCAATCTCTACTACTATGTACCTAAGTATGTACACGTATGTCTAGTTATTATGTATCCATAGTTGATTCTTGCAGTTATGTGTGTATGTTTATGTGTAAGAAAATTATTTGTTTACGCACTTACTATAGTTACCGACATACTTACATATCTATTGTACATATGTTTATATGGACAAATGTTGTCCAGCTCTTATCAAATACTCATGTATTTGTAAATGTATGTCTACATAATTGTTGAACTGCTTTTTTTGGCAATTAAATAATAAGCGAAACAATAACAATAAATCATATTACGCTGAAATTTTTATTTGTATACTAGACAAATAAAAGTCTGTGGTATTTTAACATATTTTTATTCAAAAAAAAACTTAACATCAATGTGGAGTTCAAATAAGACATTCATCTGAACAACTGACACATAACCGGACCGGACTTACAGCGCTTACCGAGTTTATAACAGCGCGCCGGTCGTTTTTCCTTTTCGCTGTTTGGTACCAATTGGAGGTTCCAGTTCTGGCCAGGTCCCTCTCCACCAGGTCTTTCCAATGGAGTGGAGGTCTTCCTCTTCCTCTGCTTTCCCCGGGCGGCTACTTCGTCGAATACTTTAAGAGTCGAACCCGCAGAACCTTTGTGTCGTAAACTCATAACGTCGACTCATCAGTTGTTGTCATTGTCCATGCCTCTGCACCATATAGCAGAACGTGAATAATGAGTAGCTTATAGAGTTTGGTCTTTGTTCGTCCAGAGAGGACTTTACTTCTCAATAGCCTACTCAGTGCGAAGTAGTACCTGTTAGCAAGAGTTATTCTGTATTGCATTTTGAGAGTGGCATTGTTGTTGGTGTTAATACTGGTAAGAAGATAGACGAAATTATCTACGATTTCGAAGTTATGACTGTGACGTGGGAGCGTAGTTGCGAGTGCTACGACTATTTGTTTGATGACAGGAGATATTTCGTCTTGATCTCGTTCATCGCCAGATCCATTTGATTCACTTCCTTCCTGCTCGATTAAGCTCTGCAGCTCAAATTATTATTCCAGCAGTGAAACCTCATTTGGTATTGAACGGTTCGGAGAGGTTCTCCCCGATCGTGTGGGAGATTTTGGTATTGCTCAACGTCAGTTAACACAGCCGTATTAGTTATGCAGGGATACCAAATTTAGAAATAGCGGCATAAAGGCAGCTCCTTTTCTTGCTGTCAAAAGCAGTTCTGCAATCGACGATCGGGTGGTGTGTGTCGATTCGCTACTCACGTGACTTTTCCAAGATTTGGCGCATGGTGAATATCTGGTCAGTTGCTGATTTTGCAGGCCAAAAGCCACACTGATAAGGTCCAATCAGTTTGTTGACGGTGGAATTTAATCTTGAGGAGGCTTATACCATGGTAGTTGGCGCAGATTGTGTGGTATCCCTTTTTGTGGATTGGACAGAGCATAACTATATTCCAATCGTCGAGCAAGCTTTCCTCCGACCATATTCTACAAAGGAGCTGGTATATACTCCTTATCAGTTCTTCGCGGCCGTATTTGAATAGCTCGGCCTGCAAACCATCGGCTCCACCGCTTTGTTGTTCTTCAGACGGGTAATTGCTATTCCAAGTTCATAGTTAGGTAATGGAACAACTGCTCCATCGTCATCGAATGGGGAATCTCTTGGTATTATGATTTCCCTGCCAATCAGAAAATAAGAAGGTGATCCCTCCATCAGTTACTAGATCATCTCTCCATTTCATGCATGTAGGGTCTACGTTTATAAGCATTATTTTTGCATAAAATTCAGGTCTCTGGTACAAGTATAGCAAGACTCGTTTCCTACCCGAGATGTATTGAGGCGATCGATATGGGATGCTGGCATCCTCACCTATTTCTTCTATTGCCAACATGATGATATTCAAGCAAAGTTTCTTTAACTTCACTGACCTTCACTGAATGCTATGTGCGGGTTAAATATTTGTGTTCGTGTTAAAGTATAGTATACTCCCAGTTATTTTCAATTGGAAACACAAAATTCCAAGCAAACTCGTTGCTAAATTTTTTTCCTAGGTAACTAGGCATAGATGGATAACTTAAGGACTTCTGGTGAAGCATCCATGATATATGAAAAGGTGTTTATCAATATTGCCAGTAAGTAGAAAACTTCATTGAAGGTTTGCTACCGGTTTTAGGGACAGGAATAATTAAAGATTTCTTACTATGGAGGAAAAATACAAACTTTGAAATTAAAAACAGCTAGGATTCCAGAATTGCGCATGGGTCCAACAAATATAAAAGTATAGAACATTTGCAATAATTTGGGGGTTATACTATTACATCTTCTATATATTGTTTATAAGGTGATTGTTCAATTAAATATTCACCTCATTACAGAACCGAATCATGAAATCATATCGTCAACAACAGATGGCGTTAACCGCCGACTTGATACGTCCAGCACAACCACAGAACAGCAGCGTTCAACTACTACTCTATCCAGCAGTGTGATGACACGAACCGAGAGTCAAACTTATGCGCCACGAGAAACTACCGTACCTTATAGCGCCACTACGAGCATTGTCACGCAGCAACGGCAGACATCAACACCCACTTCGATCTACACGACCTCCACGCAACGCGCATTCACATCAACACTGACAACAACTACCAGCCAAGCAACACCACCACCTGAAATCCATTCCACAGCGACGGAACATCAAACCACACCATATGACATAATACAGGTGTTCAGTGGTGGTGAAGGTGGCGAACGACATCATGGCGACGAAGATGAAAAATCAAATATGATCTTTAATGGTGAGCATACATCACTGCCGGAGGAACGACCACCACCGCACATACCGTCACCACATGAAACACCGCCATACTTTCAAATGCCACCACAACAACCGCCCACATACGGCAATAACTACCGCTCCAAGGGTAAGGGTGGTCGCGTCAACTCCATCGAAGAGGAGCGCACCGCTATGATAATCGGTATTGTCGCTGGCATACTGATAGCTGTAATACTGGTGATATTGTTGGTCTTGTGGCTGAAATCGACCGGTGATCGCAACTATAAAACGGAAGGAGAGAAAGCCGCTGCCTATGGACATAATCCCAATGCGGCATTGTTGGGCAACAGCAGTACCAACGGTTCCTACCATCAGCAGCGCCACCACGGGACACACCATCAGAGCAATGGCCATAATGCTAGCGGTGGTGGTGGAGGTTCCGGCACTGGTGGCAGCGGTAGTGGCAGCATGCTTGGCGCAGCTGGTGTCAATAGTGGTGGCGTAGTCGGCTATGGTTGCATAAGTTCTGGCATAGCCAGTACCGGCGCCGATGGTCGTCCACAAATGGCTGGGCTAGTGCAGCCTAAGCCGAAGAAACGAGATTCCAAGGATGTCAAGGAATGGTATGTGTAAATTGTTTTTGTTTGAATGAGGTCTGGGGCGATAGAGATTGTTAAACTCTTGGATTAACAGCGATGAGGTGTTGAGAAACGGAGTGGTTAAGTATTTTAATATTTAATTCAAATTAGCAATAATAAATTAACTAAATTTATGGAATGCATATTTAGTCAAAGGCACACAAACACCAAAATGCAAACAGACACATACACACACAAATACACTTAATGAAATACGAAAAGGTTCAGAAAAAAGTTCAGAGATACTCACGATGAGCGTGTATTTAGCAAAAATAACAGTTATACGACACACGAATCAATGCATTTGCATACATAACGGTTATTATTATGAACGACAAAATAACGAAAACTCAATAAGAAATTATGGTATAAAAGCTAGCAAAAGCAATGGAAAAAACTAACAACAACAAACAAACAGCCAACCAAAATAAAACAAAAACAACATCAAATATTTGTGACAGTTTAAAATATATAATATACTAACACTTAATTATTCTAATATTAATAATAACAAGTTGAACAATAAAATAACAAAACAAAAAAATAAAACTCATATTTATGTATGTATGTATATGTAATGTACAAAAAAAGCAAAACGAAAGAGATAATAATCATGAGGTGCATCAGCGGCAGTTTCAGCAGTGGAAGAATAGGATTGACCACTTTATCTCAAAGGATTTTAACACAAAAAAAAAAAAAACACACATTTTTACTGCAGAAATTGTCAAAAGGTCATCAGCATTGTACCTCGAGTATAATAAAACCAATTGTTAGCAGACCTCGGCTTTTTTTTAAGAATTACTATATACTTATGTTATAAAGTGCTTTTGGAGAGGTTTTTGCAAAATAATCTTTTAGTTGCCAGTTATTGGATGAGTAGTACTAGTATTATGGGAGAACGGTGATAATCTGTTACTCAAATAATATAAAACGTGTAAAAGAATAATGATATCCAGGTTTAAAGTAAATTTAAATTTAAATCTAATAAAGAGGGATTGTTTTTGGTTGCTAAGATTTTTTGCATTTTTTTTTATTCATATGAACCGTTAATACTGAAAATTTGAAAATATATCTACTATATACAAATATATGTATATGTATATGAATATTTCATTAAGGTTTTTACTTTGTTCTAAAGTCTGTGAGTTTATTCCAAAATTTAAAGGTGTCAAGTTTTAAAAAGACATTAAAATTGCTCAGTAAAACTCCTTTACTTAATAGGTTGCATATGTATGATCACGAGTATATTGTCTGTTTCGGCTGCTGATGTTCCGAGTGAATCCACGTATTATTTTGTGTTATAAAGCAGTATACAAATCCAATGGGTTCTTTGTTGAAAAGTCCGTTAGAAACAAGCGTATGGTTTAAGTTGTGTATTAGCGAGCAGTAAAATACAGCTAGTGGCCATATGTGAGTATGAATATTATAATATAATGTAAAGTGTAGAATAAAATAAACTATAAAGAAATGTAATGAAACACTGAAAATTGTCACGGAAGTTAGGAAACACAACAAAATTGATTCAATTAGGCTGACAAGATGACGATGTTTTAGTAAATAGACGAACAAATACACTTAAAAAATACTAGAAACAGTGTTGGCAATAATAATAAACACAAATAAAATAGCAAAGCATTACAAAAAAGTTTTAGAAAATGATTGCCGTCTAACGGTGGAAATCTATGGCTTAATAACTTATATAAAAAATACATAAATAGGCAAAAAAACTAAAACAATACCAAGTAGTTCCAAAATCAAGCAAATCTATATGAATATTTAACCAAATTTGATTCGTTGAATTCTTCATGTAAAGTTAAAACAACAAAAAAAGGAAAAATTAAAAACTTAAATATATATATATATATATAACAAATGTGGTGCTGTAATAATGTAATACTTAGTCCCAAATTTTTAAAAACCTGTCTCTTATACACATCTAGATGTGTATAAGAGACAGTATATATATAACAAATGTGGTGCTGTAATAATGTAATACTTAGTCCCAAATTTTTAAAAACTAAATTCAAGATGTTTAATTTAGTAAACGAAAAACTCATAACTTAATGCTACAAACCAAAAGTAAAATACTATAACAAGCAACTTTAATGAAGGCACTTATTATAGTGAAATACACAATACATATTATAAATATAATGACAGAGAATCCGTGACAAAAAATTAAATTTAAAGCTAACCATACTGAAACTATAATATTAACTATTGGCTTTGACACTGCAATTACAATAGCAAATGGGATCAGAAGGTAAACAACACTGTGCTGGACGATTTTCTCAACGCGATTTACACACGATTTACACACGCTCAGTCGTTCGGTCGAATAGCTCAAATTCACGCAAACACAAAATGGCGGGCTTACTGCACTTACTTGCATCGTTCACTACACACTCTAACACACACACACTTTAACTAAGCTACTCACGCGCATATATGGCTCATTATTTGATCTCTCCTATCTGACACCGTGTTGCGTTATCTTTGTATGCATGAAGGGTATGAAGGTAATATTGCCAGTGTTCACCGTATTTAACTTTTTTACAATATTTATTATACAAAAAAGACACCGTAACAAGTTATAACAGCTATGTATTAGAATGCTAAATATTTTACAACAACAACAAATGCGTGTTTGTATATCGTTTTTTGATGCTAAATACAGTATAGATTTTTTTGTGTTGGTTTTTTAAGAATTTTTGAAAGACTTTTTGTCTACACTTAGACTTAAATAAAATGCTTAACTCGGACATATCAAATGCAAAATAAGACATTTTGAAATGCAAACATTTTACTAAAACTAAGCAAAATAAATAGAAATTAAAGCACACAAAAGGCAAACATACAAACTTACATACAAGTCATCACTTACAGCAAGCGATTGTTCTCATCCCATTAATTCTGTATTCAGCTTGAGGTAACGTAATCAGCAGTTATACATATATTTTTTAATTTTTAATTGCATGAGAGTAATGTATTTGCAAATCACTTTTGCATGAGAAGGAAATGTAAATTCAAACCAATATAGCCTTTGAAGCAGTTTTTGTTTGCAAAAAATAGTAATTACCTCGTTTATTAATGCACAATGTGATACTGGGCAAAAAACATAATGCATTGAAAGTAAATTGAATTAATAGTTTAATTTTTTTTCTTTTTAAGCCAGAAATTAATCAATATCAAATATTCATCCCAAAAATCCCATTAGTATTAGCGAAATCGATTAAAAAATAATAATTGACTAAATTTAATATAACAAGTCTTAAAATATTAAGGAAAAACATTTTCATATTTAATTTCGATTTTGAAAATTCAAATAAAATTTTTTAATTAAAAAATGCGTAATCCTGGCCTATTTGACCTTTATAAGTCTTAAAATATTATACCTTACTTATCCACTATGTAAAATTCATCTAAGGTCATTGCAGTTTTTCAGTAGTAAATCCTTCCTTTTTAAAATATTTTTTTTTATTTTTT